TACATGAGAAATAGAGGAATTAATTAATAGTAAGGAAACACATAATTATTTTAGAATAGTATGTAACTGTTTAAGAATATAATTAAAAATATCGACCTACTTGATACACGATACAGCTAAATTAGAAAGCCAAAAATTGAAAATTGTTTGCATATAAACTAGTTTCGATTGCTGATAAGGCCATAAGCCAACTAAAAGTAAAATAATCCGATTCAAATTGAAATACTGAGTCGTGACACAGATCATCACTTTGTGAGAAACGTATCGCGTTTGACTGAAAAAAATCGACGATGATGCATGATATCCTCTTTTTTCATATCGCGAATATTTTAGAATTTTTTTCTTTACCATAAATTTTAAATTGCTTAATTTGGCACAAATGTGAGATAGAATGGTAAAAAAAATACTACCGTGAGATCGAAACACTGGGGACTTTGTGACTTTGCCTTATAGAATTAAACGATCGATCGATTAAACGTCAAGAGAAATGTAACGAATGTCCGCTTCCCATAGAAAAATACTTACAAAATGACTTCTTTATTTCAAAATTTGTGCAAACATAGTTTCGTCCTCTTTCGACATATTCGGCAATTTCATTATGATATATGCATCGATAAAATATATTTAAGCAGAATTTTAATGTATCTGATCTGGATATCTCAAGTTTTTATATGTCAATTTAGTTTTTAAGCGTATTTTATATAATTTAAAATCTATCATGGAATTCATTATAGAATAGTGCAATCACATGAAAATTGACTATACAAGGTTAGAAATTGACGCTCCACGCTTTTATAATTATTATATTTTAAAAGTTTATGCTTTAATTATATTAGATTTATGCTACATTGTATTTGAATATTAAAATTATAATGTGAGAAATGGAATGATAGAGATGAAAAAAAATGTCAGTTTCCCATTTTGCGATTTTTTTTACATATTTTTGACTGCACTAAGTTGTGCTAGATTGTGCTAAAGTATTATCTCTAAAAACATTAACAATAAAATTATAATAAGAAATAAATTTGAAAAACATAGTATATAAGTAACGTTTATTTTGTATTCATCATTTATATGATATACAAATATGCATATCTAACTTATGTTAACTTAGCACCAATCAGTACAATCTCTGTCAGCACAAAGCAGATCGAGCACATTTTTCTAATAAAGCGAGTGATTTGTTCCACAGCAATGCGTTTAAGAGCCTTTGAAATAGAGTGCAGATAAAAAATAGGTCGGCAGTCTCTGAAATCTGCAGGATACTTGACTTTAGTCAGAGGATCGACTAAACTTTCATAAATTAGGAAAGACTTCATTTAACTAGCAGAAACTATGTGAATCAAAATAAGACATATATAGGATAGATCAAAATGAGATTGTGCAAGATCGCAGCCGATCATTAATTGATTTTATTGTGTTGCAGTGCTTTGCAAACATCTTATTGTGTGATGACGTTGCAATAAAATTTATAAAATCATCGTAGATCTCTTTATCAAGATAAAAGCTCATCGAAGCCACAAACTTGACGGACATACGAGAAAAAAATTTGTTGAGTCCATCAACGGGAAAAAGAACTTTCTTGTCACTCCGATCTCTCTTCTTCTCGTTCTCCTTCTCGTAATATTTTCTTCTTACTATTTTTAATATTTTGTTGCATTATTCGCATCCGTGCTTCTTTTTTCTTTTATTCGATCAATTCGCGTCATTGTCAAAAATAATAATTCCATTTTATTTCACTTCGCTTCGTGGATCTTTAGATTGAGATCAATCATAATTTAGCACGCGATGACAGAGAGGAGATCGAATAGTGCGATAAAATTTGAAATCTATTCCAGATTCTGTGTGACGAAATATTAAGGCTATGAGAAATGAGATAAATGTACGACGGATTTCGGAATTTCATGAATTTATCCACTTCTAAACTGTTTCCTTCATAAATTTGATCTCTATTTCGGAGGAAGATACATTAACTTAGCATTCTGCACACGCATATAAACGGTTAAAAGTGGTTTAATGTATTTTTTTAATATTTAAGAAAGAAAGTAAAACAAATAAATATAAGTTTTATCCTTTTAAAATAAATCTTATTTTTTATCCCTTTTACTTCTTGTAAATGTAATATTTTATGTCAGAGTCTGTTACACGGTGTATATTTTCTGCATGCTTTCTAAAATATTTTCCGTCTCACGAAAGATTCACGCCAGTTTCGCGTATAAGTAGCTTCACTTTGTATTCACGACTAGGTGGTAAACTTTATGTCATCGTAAACAAAATATTTTCACACCGTATACGAGAGAAGTTAAAACAAACTGGTAAAGCTCTTACAAACAAGGAAAATACTGTTGTGAGTTTATTTTAAATATTTATCTGTTGTCAACCTGCTGAAGAAATTTACCGAATTACAGAATTAATTACACTGACTTGGAAAGATTTTTTTAACAAGTCGGCGTTTTTAAACTTTCAAGATAAGTCTCCTTCAAACTATTTAATTTGATATTATATAATTTAAAATTAGGTTTATCTCTTACATGATTTACAAAATAAAATAGGATTATACCATTATACAAGAATATTTGTATGTGAAATCCAGCTTGATGTAATCAAGATTAGAATCTTTAAACTCAAAATATATTTTTCTCTTATATTTGCTTTTGATTCATAATATTTTTGACTAGACTGAGGATATCAATTCGCAACTGAGATGCGCGAGGTGTGAAATGTCGAATTTTCTCGTAGAATCCAATCTTAATCTCGATTCGAAATCGCACGGTCGACACGATCTCTTTTCTCTTTTCTACTTCCGAATCCATCTGCAAGCTGTTCTTTTGCATTCTATATATTCAGCAGCTCGCTCGTCTCACGCTCGTCTCGCGCTCGTCTTCGTTGAATTCGCGCGTGAATCTGTCGATATTCCATCGGATATGCCTGGGTCGGAGAAAGGAAAACATTACGACGCCTCCCGATATCCCTATTTTTCCTCGCGGTTTTTCGCTCAATATAGTCAACCGATCGAGAAAAATATTCTCTTCACGTCTCGGAAGTTTATAAATTCCATCAAAATGTATTTCAATACTATCGAGACGTACTTCTTGTAAAGAGAAGATCTGCATGAGAACGAAAGCGAGTCTTTTCTCAGTCAACTCTATTCGATATCTTTTTTCATAAGTATCATAAGAATTATTAGAAAAAAATCAAGTTTAACGCGCAAAATTTGAATAAAGAAATTAGTTATCAAGATGTATAACTTCGGAAATTAAAAAATTGCGACGAATAATGCATACATATTAGAATTTCGTTGTATAGAAAATAAAATAATCGTGAATAAATTATGGTTATGAACTTTTGCTTCAGTCTATATTTTCCTCGGTAGTTTCATCGTTACTCTTTTAAATAATAGATTTTCAATTTGCATATTTTGCATTTAAAAAGAAAGTGTCACAACTGTTCGACATTGATTTCATTCTTTTTGAAATATGTTACTAAACACAAAAATCTAAGAGCCGCATATTTTTTTATACATGCCCGTTTTAAATTTTAAGGAGTTGTATTATATTTAATATTATTTGTAATTATAAATTAAAAAATTTTTTTTTAAAAGAGACGGAAATTTTAAGAGATTGCAGATTTTTAAAAAAATCTAAATGTACAGTTATAAAGAACATTAAATATCATACAATTACTGTTGAAAATCATTTTTTTTAAAACTTTGAAACATTTCTGTAAAAATTGGATTCCATGCAGAAGTGTTTCTTTCATTCAATAAAGCGAAGACTATCCGATAAAGTTTCACATAAAAAAAGCAACGACGAAACCATCTAGCCTTCGCCGTTCAGTCAAGAATGTCGGAGTTTGCACACGGATGGAGACAGCCCGCAGAAATTTCGTTTTTCTTTTTTCTTTCTTTTTTTTTGTATATCAAGCTGATCGCTTACGATCAGATGCGTCATAAAGTATGCGCGATGCGATGTCGTAGCGGTAGTGACGTGCATTTAAATACAAATACGGAACAATGCGGTGCATCGTAATAAACTTGCGTGACCGCGGGACAATAAAATTTCGTGTGCATCTACGACGTGACGAGAGAGGAATAGATGCATACGTTGTGGCTTCTGACGGGCTGATAAGATTGGCTCACGTTCTCGCATTCGCAATGGAAGCAAAGAGATAAGACGAAATTATTTTGCACACGCCGCCGGTTAATTTCTCAATCTCGTTATTCGTTTATGAAAAGAACAATTTTGTTCAAAATATATAAAAAATTTAGTTAAAAAATATACCTTAAAAATAAGTAAAAATAAATAAATAAATAAATAAAAAATCTTAAATAAATATATTAAATTAATTAAAAGTAAATAAAAATAAATATCTTGAAAAGAACTTTATTGAACCAAATTGAATCAAAATAATTATATGCACTGCTTAAGCATGATAATGATACAACTGAAACAATTCTTTTATACTTCAGCAAGTAATTCGAATATCGCGTTTCTCTTCAAAATAT